TGGTAGCAGCCATGGGTAAATAGTAAACCCCCCAAACTGGGGTCAAAACACTATGTAAGTGTAAAAATAGGTTTTAATACCAGTAATACTTTCTAAAAATATTATTGTCAGCAATACATTTTTTGAAAAAACTATTACCAGAAATAGATTTTTGAAGGAAAAAAATATTACCAGCAATAAAGATTTTTGTCAGCATTAAATAACCCATTGGGGTTGATATGCCACAAACCAAAACATCCATCCATCTATATATATATATATATATATATATATACATATATATATATATATATATATAAAATTAGTGTGAGCAAATGTTTGTCACTTAGCTGATTGATGTTACCTTCAGCATCCCAACTCCAGAGTTTCATAGACAGACCTGTCTGTTCACTCTTCAGTTAGTATCAGCAATTTACTGCTTACATTTTTTTGATAAAAGTGGACATTAAGGTCAACACCAAGCAGCAACAATCTGTTTCATGCTTATATGCAATCGTCAGGCCTGACAATTGCTTATAAGCATGAAACAGATTGCTGTTGCTCAGTGTTGACCTTAATGTCCACTTTTATATTTACATATACTCTATCCCTGATATTGAGCACATTAACTCATAAATATAACATACCTTAAAACTATATTTTATCATATATGTTGTCTGTTGGCTTCTGCAAGAAGCTTATCCTCCCTTTTGAGGGGTCTTTTTTTATCCTGTGGGGGTGACATGCCACTCTCCAACTGTCGGTTTTGTACCTGTAAAATACACTTTCCCATGTTGTGCTCTCACAATGATGGTTAAAAACAATTGAAGAATTAATATTGAAAAAGAAAAAGCCAACACTCAATATCAACTATGAACATGGCCACAATGGGCTGACTATGTTTGGAAAATGAAAAAAAATTGCCATCATTATAGATACATATATATAAAAATTTACACATTCAGTTAAAAAAAATATCTTTGAAAATGGCTAATAGAATAGACAGGATCACTCTTATATATAAAACATTTGGCCAGTTTTTACACAATTGCAAATGCAAAATTGAATATAACCTAATCACAGTACCTTGTCAGTCACCACAACACTCTTTCTGTACATCACAACCCTCTCCATTTGTCTCTACCTACCCTTATGATGACTTAAAAACCTTGAACCATATTTCTTCCAAAATGAACTTTGGATAATTTCTGACAAAATTTCTTCCTTGTCTGAGAAGAATCTGCTTGTGGAGTGTCCAGGTTTACACTGTAACAGCAGCAAGGAAAATGGTGCAATCAAGCTCAACCTTTGATCACGTGACCAGAAGAGTACCAACTATAAGCACTCAGGAGCAGAAGGTCATGGGACAAACCTAAAGATATGTTATAGCGAAAAGTTCAGATAACTTTTGACTTACCCTTATATAAAGTTTATAGTCTGAACTTTATTTAAATAGGTGCTTGTGTATGTATGATAACCAGCAGTTTTTTGGGTTTTTTTTTAAATCCTGAGACAATGATTAGAAGGATATAAAAAAACAAAATGATATGGAAATTAAGCAATGTCAATCCTGGTCAGTACCTAAATCTGGGCAAATGTGTCCTAAAGAACAAATGGCTCAGTAGATAAAACGGTTAGATCCAGTGACTAGACCCAAAGAGTTGTGACAAATAACTGAGAGATCCGGAAGAGACATGGCATGTGGAACTAGAACAATCTACCTCAGTAGATGAAATAAAGGGTTTGGTTTGAAATTCCAATCACCTGAAAAGGCTGGAGCATACAATGGCTGAAACGCTGTGAATATGGCAATGAAGATGAGGATAACATCCGAATAATGTAAATAATATGGATAATGGCTTGGAGTAGTAATTGGAGAGCAGAGTTCCAATTCCAGTTGGGTTCATTATATTCACTTACATACAATTTTTCTTGGGCAAGGTATGAATCCACCTTTTCTTCCCACCCAGCTATATGTTATTTAATAAGGCTTTAGTAACCATTATTATCTACCCCCCACCCAAAAAAAATTAGATAACTTGCAAAGGGTTAATAGGCTATAGAAAACAAATGAATCAATCAATGTCAAAGATATTCATAAAAATGACAAATATGAAAATTAATCTTGTGACCCTTCTAAATATTAAGGCTTTCATTTCAAACAACCAATCCACCATTTAAAAAAAAAACAAAAAAAAAATAACAAAGAATGAGACAGAAAAGAATGAAACAAAAGAAACATTATTTGAGATAAAAAAAAAAAAAAATAAGTGAATGCTATTTCCCATGATTCTCTCTTCTATTTTGTAACTTGATGACTTTTCTGTGTTCCGGAAATCTGTTTACAATGTTTATATGCTCTCCAAGGCATCATTGTTTTGCTCTCTGTGGAGTTGCTTGTGTTGAACATAATTCCCTTAGTGAATTTTCAGGAAACAAAATGGAACTCAGGAAGGTTTTGAAACACTCAGCAAGAGTGAAAACAACAATAAATAGAACTAAAGAATATTATATTCTCAAA